GCCTCGCCCCTCAGCAAGACACGCTCCCGCTTCGGCTCCTGCCTTGGGGCGAGCGCAGGCTGGAGAGGGGGCCAGAGCCGCGCGCGAGCGCCGCGGGAGCTGGAGCCGGTCCAAGCGCGGGAGGGAGCAGCGGCATCCCTGTGCTCGGCCGTTAGGCGCAGCAGCTCACTTTCCCAAGCAGAACCGTTAGGAAGCCGTGCAATTTGGCAATGTCTTTCTCGGCCCCTCCGGGGTGCTTTCTTCCCAGGCACACGAGCTCACACAAAGAGCCTCTTGGTTGCAAACCTCCCTGAGCTCATTTCGTTTCCTGTTTTCTCGGCCGGGAGAAACAAGCTTCCCCGGGACCGCTCTGTGCCAGCGAGCGATGCCCCGGGGGACTGCGGGAGCACTTCTGACCCTTCCAGGCAGCCAGGCCATCCAAACGCAGGTCAACACCCACCAGCCATGCCCACAGTCACACAGCCCAAAAGCCGGCAGCAGCTATTTACTCTGCAACCTTCCAGGGCTGCTTAACGAGCCCACAGGCGATCGGGCTGCTAATGGGTGTCAGCAGTGAGGTCTCACTCATGGGACCATGGGAGCACTGGAGGCGGTTTTGGTCTTAGTCCAGGAGGTCACCAGCTGCACACGTGCTCCTCTAGCGCTGGTTACGTCAACAGCTGGAGGGAGAAAATCCAGACTGCTGCCCTTTTCTTGCGTGCAGCTCCTGGGAGAGAGCAAGGAGCTGCTGCTGCCGCCCAGGGACCAAGCACCCAGCGCTCCTTCCCTGGAGCTGGTGCTGGAGCAATCAGAGCTCACGGAGCCACCAGCACAGCAACGCGTTGTGCCCAGGTCTGCAGGAACAGGGCTGGCACCCGCGTGTGCGCAGAGACCCGAGCAAGCGGTGCATTTTCCAACGCGCGTCCAACGAGTTTGGGGTGCTGAGCTTCCCTCCAAAGCACGCAGCCACGACTCCTGGAGCAGAAGACGGTGGGAGGGGCAGGTCCCGAAAGCCAGGTTCCTCTTAGGCGCTGGTTTGCAAACAGGGCTCCCTTGAGGTACGCGTAGCACTCACTCAACGATGTGACCTTGCTAAGGCGCATTAAAGCTATATTCTGCCTCAGAAGCGTGCCCTTCGTAATTGGCTACGGAGATTAACGGTGGCAACGGCTAGCTTTGTGCTTGCCGCTGTCCGCCTGGGGCAGACATGACATCAGTTCCTGTTTTCCTAGGAAAAAGGCGGCGGGCTGGATTTTCTCGCTGGCCCTCGACAGAGCCAGCGCGCGGCTAGAGGGGCAGGCACAGGGCTGCCGAGCGCCTGAGCTAGGACCAAAACCACCTGGAGCGCTCCCACGGTCCGGGGGAAAGAGAACAGACCTCGACTTTGAGTCTGCCCCCACCGCCATCCCTTTTATTTGAGGGCAGACGCTCTCCCAGCCCGGCTGAGCAGGAAGCAGGCCCAGGAAGTCACCGATGAGTCACGAGGGGCCACGCTCTGCGAGAGGCACCCGGCCGAGCCAGCTCGGCAGACCGAAGCCCGCGGCCCAGGGCATTTAGGCTGTACGTGTGTCTCAAGAACCCCAGACACCACGGGGCTCTTGGGGTTATTTGTACTCGGCCCGCAGGTGGGCTGCGAGCCGGGGAGCTCAGCGTTGCAAGAGCCCAGCAGACGGCAGCCGAGAAGGGCAGTGGCTCCAGTAACAGGAAAGCTCAGACAGCCCCAGGAAGCTTGAGGTTTTCTTTCTAGCTCTGTCCACAGCTCTGAGCCAGGGCCAGCTCCTTCCTGCCCTGCTTGGTGGGACAGACCCACCGCAGACCTCGGGTCACATCCAGCCCGGCGTTCCTGGTTGGGCTGCAGCAGTGCTGTCTGCAAAGGTGACAGCCAGAGAAGTAGAGGGTTGTCTTATTGCGGCTGAGGGTTGGGTTTTGTTTCCCCGTCCCGTTTGGCTTCTCAGCAGGAGAGGCAGCAGTAGGGTTGTATTTCGGCCTCGGGAAGGGGCTGCTGTGGAAGCACTGGGGGAGCTGTGGGACGCGCCCCGGGCCAAGCACAAGGCCAGCTGCAGGGGTAGGTGCAAAGCAATGGTCTGCCATTTGGGGAAGGGGACTCTAGGAACATCAGCAAGCCTGAAAGAGACTCTCAGTGACAAAGATGAAAGGGGGATCACAAATGAAAGGCTAACAGAGAAAGTCTTTAAGTGCCTTTGTCTCACAGCTGTCCCCATGCCAACCATAAGTCAGAAATCCTTAGGGTGCTGAGTGGTCCCTGCACTGAGCTGCTCACAGCAAGGCACGGTAGGAATTGGGTTACGTATTTTTTTTCCTCTACTCAGGCTTTATGGAGGGGAGGATCATGCCACTTGCAGGAGAGCTGGCTCCCCTCCTCGCAGGGGAAGCTGCTCCTCCAGTGCCAGCAGCATACACGGGTGGCCCTCCGCCCTGCCTACGGCTGGCAGCCCTGATCCTCCGCTGGCATCAACCCGCAGCAAGGCACGGTAGGAATTGGGTTACGTATTTTTTTTCCTCTACTCAGGCTTTATGGAGGGGAGGATCATGCCACTTGCAGGAGAGCTGGCTCCCCTCCTCGCAGGGGAAGCTGCTCCTCCAGTGCCAGCAGCATACACGGGTGGCCCTCCGCCCTGCCTGCTGCTGCCAGCCTTGATCCTCCGCTGGCATCAACCAGCCCCATCGACTTCCTGGGTCTGCGCTGGCTGCTGCGAGATGAGGTTGTCACGCAACCGCGGCATCAGCTGCACCTTGCTGCAGCCTCCGAGGTCAACGCAGCACCACACTGGCATTTCCTCCCCTTGGCCCACAGCCGATCGAGGTCCTGGCGTTGTCGGCAGTAGCCCGCAGCCACCAGGCTTGGCTTGTCCAGCCCAGAGCTTCACACTGAAGGCGTACGAGAGGCCGATCTCCAGCCAGGGCAAGATGGAGGGCTCTGACTTATTGATCCTTTCCCACCTCAAAAGTAGGTCTTTCAGATCCTTTGCTGTGGAAAGCAGCTTTTATGAAGTGCTGTTGAAAGCACTTCCATATCTATTATCAAAAGAGCAGCTCCGCCCCTTTGAGTCCTAGCGACAGAATTAGCAAGTCACAGCCACTCATCTCAACAGCAAGTGAGAGACGAAATCCTTCCTGCAGTGGACAAATACCCTATCTCCTGCATTTGTCCAGCAGCCTGCAGCACGGCAGGGACGGAAAAAATTGGGAAACGCACAGTACTGAACTGTTCCCAACACATCTCGGCTATACCTCAGACCCCTGGACCCACCACAGTGCGCACCGTGACACCTGCGCCACTTAGGCATGACTGCCCATGCCAGACAGATGGGAAATCTCCTTGTGTAGCATCGCCACTCACTCCTCGCTATGGCTGCTGGACAGCTGGAGCCACCCAACGTCCTGCCTGTCCCGTGCTCCCCCTCTGCCCCGTGGCAGGAGCTGAGCCAGGGTGCCCCAGCTAACACAGGAGCTCTGCCACCCACCAGGTTGCACTCCGCTCCCCAAGGGGGCTTTTCGGGCGATCCTTCAAGCATCACTGCCAGCACAGACAGGGGGGGCTGAGGCTGCAAGAGCCCCAAACTAGACCAGTAGCAGCTCTGCATTGTAAAAGCCAAGTCCTTCAACTCATTGCTGCAGGACTGGGTTGTGACAGTAAGCAAAGGGTTAAAGATGCTGGCCCAGACACTGATGCCCCATTGATAAATAAGACAAGAGGGTGGTTGAGGAAAATGGAGATGCCCCAGCGCATCAATTCCTCCCTTATACAGGGGCCTGTGAAAGGCTGAAACGCCCTGCAAGTGAAGGGATGTCACCGCCATGCCCAAGATTTACTTTTGTGCCAGGCACAGCCACCACCAACCCCCAGATCACACGCAGCCTCCCGGCTGGTGCCGCCGCCTCTGGTGCGGGCAGGCTGACGCCGCGTGCCCCGGACGCGCGTGGCTCTAATACCTGCACCGACGGCTTCTTCTCAGTCTTCCCAAGAGAACGAGATCCCCTTTTCTTCAAGGAATTCTGCAGAGAGAAGAGAGCGCCGTTACCCACAGCGAATCCCCAGGGCACCAGGACGGGCTCGCTGCACGCAGGGGCCCTGCTCTGCGACACCCCTTGGAGCCAGCCCAGCAAGGTGATGCCGGCCTCTCCAGGAGCCTGTGAAACCTGGGAAAACGCCAGAGTCGTGGCCCCGGCAGGCTGCGGCCCCTTGCCTTGAAGGACCTGGGCTGCCAAGCTTCATGTTGTGGAGTTTAGCTAGAAATTTTCCTTACAGGCATCGAGCACCACACAACTAGTGAGAGAACAGGAAATGAGACACGGAGAGCCTGAGTCACGGGTCACCGTGTCAGAGCTGCATAAAGCAGAAAATGCAGTTCCCAGGCCAAGTGACAGCTCTCGGGGCATGCCAATTTGGGAGCAACAGAGGAGGATGTCCCTCATCACCTCCTCCCTCCACGTGGGCAGCAAACAACGTCCCAGGAGAGCCCCGCGCAACGAAGGACCTGGCAGCAGGGCTGGGTAAGGCAGCCTCAGAACTTCATTTTACCTGTTGAACCGCATGTGCTCAGCTGAGCCCTGGAGCCAGCGATGTTGGCTGGGGGATGCGTCATTCCTCAAGCCCACAGCCTTTGAAGCACCCATAAAACAAGTTAAATCTCATTCACTAGGCCATGGCTTTATCACATTGGCTCCAGGCAGGGATGAATCACTGCTGCAGAGCTCACACCAAGACCAAGCATCCCCAGGCAGCTGCTGGGAGCTTCGGGCCCTCTCCAAGGCCTGCTCCAGCGCCGGTGAGCTCTGCCTCATAAATCCTGGCAAGCAATGCCACTGTGAAAGGATTTGACACTCCGAGATCTCTCCGTTATGCCTTAAATCCCCAGAGTGAAGGATACTGGTAAGGCGGGAGACCAGACACGCTCCCAGGCGATCATCCACCACCACCTCCATCAAAAGGAGTTGTAAGGGAGAATGGAAAAAAAGCAGATAACTGGCCCTGCTTTCCCCCACCTTGGCCCTAGGCATCTGGGAAGGAAAGGTGGGGGAAAATATGCAAGCGCTAAGCTGTCCCCAGCCATATTGCCCCTCCTTCCCACCCTCGGGACTCCTGGGGTGGTGGGTACGGAGAGGCGAGGGCAGCCTCGGGGCACGGGAGCAGGAGCAAGGCTGGGCGATGCAGTGGGTCCGTACCCCAGGAGAGGCGGCGCGCGCCCAGCGCCAGGCACCCCGCAGCCAGGGGGCTGCGGCCGCCCTCGACATCTTTCCAAACTGGCGCTGAGGCCCAGCAGCCAAAGAAAGCATCTGTGAAATGCAAGCTGCTGCCTGTGCCAAGGTACTGAGAGCCAGGCTTTCCTATTAAGGCCAAGACCATCGCTGGATCTGCTGCTGCAAATACTCTCCCGAGGGCAGGCTGTGCCACGTCGGCATCCCTCGTCCCAAACACATCGGGGACCAGCGTGCCCTCACTCCACATCCCGCTCGACAGCCGGGGGGAGCTGGCAGAGGGCATTGCCTGGCCCTGAGCACCCCAGGAGCAGGGCCCTGGGCCAGGCGCTGGCTGTCATTGCTGCGGCTCTGCCTAAGGCACCGGACTCCCTCGCTGGGCAGCTCCATACACGGGGCTGGTGCCTCCTCCTGCTCTGGCAGGGCACCTGGACAGGACCTGCTTTTCTCCTGCCTCCTGTACCAGCCCCAGGCTCTTGGGAGATGCTGCTGGGAAGGATCCCTCTCTGCCAGAGTCAGGGCAGAGCCAGAGGTGCAAATGCCTATGGGTTTAGTGATTAACTGCCCATCCCGACAATTATCTGATTATGGGAGAAGTCACTTGCAAGGGAGAAATCATCTGCCCTTCCGGGGCAAGCCCAGCCCTGCCCCAGCCACAGGCTTGGGTTTGCTTTGCTACTAACAAGCTCTGCTGCTGCTTTGCTCCCTCCAGCCAGAAGAAAGGAGGTGCCCCAGGGCTGCTAACTCACTTGTGCGTCTAATTAGCGCTCTGGAATAAGCACTAACCCAAACGCCCTTGCTAGCCTGGGGCAGGGCTCTGCTGGGAGGACCCCCTTTACCCACGCAGGCTCCTGGGCAGCAGAGCAGCCTCTGCTGGCACCTTGCTCGTGGAGCACCGCAGCTTGGGCACCTTTCAAGAGTAGAGGCATAAATAAGTCGGCAGCAGTGTGACTTCCCAGTCGGATACCTGCTGGCTGCGGCAGACAGACCATGCCGCACCTAGCCCTCCTGCACACCGGATCCACGCTGCTCTGCAAGCTCAGCTCCTGCGTGCTCACAGGGACCTGTGCGAGCCCCGACCAGCCTGCCTCAAAGCTGAGACAATATAACAGCACCTGAGAGAGTCTGGCTTTGCCCCTACACGGCTCATCTGTAGGGCTGCTAGGTTTGTCTCCAGGGACATCCCACCAGGACAGATGTGCAACCCCCAGGAGACTCAGACGGACAGCTGCTGGCCCTGAGCTCCTGAACAAGGAGGGGCTGGAGCCGGGCCAGCCCCAGAGAGGGCCAGCTCATCACCCCTCCGGGCACCGGACTTTGTTCTGAGCAGGTCCCAAGCTGGTTTGCTGCGTCCCCTTTGGCCTCACGTCCCTGCAGAGAGGGGACATCTCGCGTCCCATGCTCTGCGAGTCAGCAGAGCCGGTGTTAATGGCCCAGCAGCTTCACACGCAAATCTGCTCTCCTCTGCTGCTGGAAGCCTCGGCCAGGCACTGCCAGGCACTAGCGATCGCTTTGCTGGACACATCTCCCTTGCTACCATACAGAAAGCGACTGCCCTGTGCACCCTGGCAGCTCATGTCGAGATGCGCAGGGGCAGCAGGCAGGAGTGATCTTTGGCCAGGGCAAGATACCTGTACCGCCCAGGTAGCCCAAAAGGAAAGATCAAACGGCCACTTTCTCTGCCTCTGTTTTTCAGGGCACAACTCTCCCGCAGTCTGGCTCCCACTGCTGTCATTGGTTATTCAGTCGACGCTCTCCAGCTGCGCAGAAACCCATGTCACGCCTGTTAGCGGAGGCTGCTCAGGGGATGGACAACACTCGCTGTCTGTGTGCAGCGCTCTGGGGCTAGGGGGGCCGCAGAGGGGACAGTGTGAACCCAACCCAGCCGCGCAGCTCACCAAGGGCCGTGTCTGACGCTAACTGCAGCCGGGGCACAAGCGGCCCCGGACATCCTAAGCCCCGTCCTGGCTCACCGCTGTGCCTGGCGCAGGAGTACGGCCAGGCCGGGCAGCGGGGACCGGAGACGGGCAGGCTCACGGCCTCCCTCTCTCCTGTTCCTGCCCAGGGCTCAGTTGCCCAGGGCTGGCAGGGAGCGAGACTC